GCCAACTTGAGGGAGGCCGGCGAATTTTTTTCCCTGATAAATAACGAGGTCGAAGGAGGCCGGCGAATTAAAATTTGAGGATGTCTCGAGCGAAACGCTTGTTTTTGAAATCCCGATCGATAAATCACAGGGTGCGGGCCACTTTTTCGTGTGTTGAGGATGTCTCGAGCGAAACGCTTGCTCCGCAGAGTTTGCCGAGGATGTCTCGAGCGAAACGCTTGTTTTGCAGAGCCGACCGCGACGCGGAAAAGCGCCCCGCGCGAAGGAATTTCGATGATGTCTCGACTAATTCGTTTGTTTTTGTACGATTTCCTGGAATTTTGGCAGGATGTCTCGAGCGAAATGCACGACCCCACCCTAGCACGACCATACCCCAGCACGACCACACCCCAGCACGACCAGACCCCAGCACGACCCCACCCCAGCACGACCCCACCCCAGCACGACCATACCCCAGCACGACCACACCCCAGCACGACCCGACCCCAGCACGACCCTACCCCAGCAGCACGACCACACCCCAGCACGACCACACCCCAGCACGACCACACCCAGCACGACCACGCCCCAGCACGACCACGCCCCAGCACGACCACCCCCAGCGACCACAGCACGAGCAGCACAGACCACACCCAGCACGAGCACGCACGACCACCCCCCAGCACGATCCCCACCCAGCACGACCACCCAGCACGACCCCACCCCAGCACGACCACCACCCCAGCACGACCACACGCACCCCAGCACGACCCACCCCAGCACGACACGACACCCCAGCACGACCACACCCCAGCACGAGCACGACCACTCCCCAGCACGACCCCACCCCAGCACGACCACACCCCAGCACGACCACACCCCAGCACGACCCCACCCCAGCACGCACACCCCAGCACGACCCCACCCCAGCAAGACCACACCCCAGCACGACCGCACCCCAGCACGACCTTACCACAGCACGACACACACCCCAGCACGACCACGCCCCAGCACGACCACGCCCCAGCACGACCACGCCCCAGCACGACCACCCCCCAGCACGACCACCCCCCAGCACGACCACCCCCCAGCACGACCACCCCCCAGCACGACCACACCCCAGCACGACCACTCCCCAGCACGACCACACCGCCTTGGTTGAGTGGTTGCCTGTCGTCGTGGAATGTTTCGTGGGGTGTCTCGTGGAATGTTTCGCGGGGTGTCTCGTGAAATGTTTCGTGAGGTGTCTCGTGGAATGTTTCGTGAGGTGTCTCGTGGGCTGTTTCGTGAGGTGTCTCGTGGGATGTTTCGTGAGGTGTTGCCCAGTTGGGTATCATGAAAACGTGTCCATGCTCCACATGTCTATATCCCTTTCCGGGTTCGTGGGTCCATCATGTTCTTCAGTATGCTCCCTATTGGGATCGGAGCAGGGCGAGTTGAGACAACGGCAGCTCAGAATCAGTCCCCCGTACCCCTGTATCCAAACGCACGAATTATCCGAGCTGCGTCCAGCTGGGGCGACGATGGCCCCCCCAAGGCCATCGCAACTCGCCCTCTGAGACCGAATGCAGCCGAGTGGGAAACAGCCGAGCCAGCCGAAATGCGGACATTCTGGCTGACATGCGCCACGGTGATTTCTTCAATCCGCGGCCTCAGAGCTCCCGACCCCTTCCCTGGGGCCGATCTCGCGCCCCAGATCCGTTTTGGTGGCCCCAGCGCCCTTGGGATCGGCGCGGCGGTGGCTCATGCCATGGGAGGGTTCTTAGTGGATGCCAAAGTGGGTCATATCTGGTCTGACCTAGGTTATAAGTGGGTTACAAATGCCCCAGGTGGCTTAAGGGGTTAGATAACTCAGCGAAATGGGCGGAGCCCACTTAGCCCGAATCACCAACCCCCCAAGCCGTTCGGGGCATGTGTATTTTTCCCGGAAAGGGCTCAGGCCCAGGGTTCTCTTTTAGTATGTAAACATAGTCCCCGGTGCCCAACTTGAAGGAGGCCGGCGAAATTGTTCCTTGATAAATATCGAGGTCGAAGGAGGCCGGCGAAATTATGTTTGAGGATGTCTCGAGCGAAACGCTTGTTTTTCCCGGAAAGGGCCTGAGCCCAGGGTTCTCTTTTAGTTGGTTTCCCCCCGGTTTTGACGGCTGTAGGGCCGGCGAATTTCTTTTGCGATAAATAACGAGGTCGCGTAGGGCCGGCGAAATTGTTTGTGAGGATGTCTCGAGCGAAGCGCTTGTTTTTCATAATTTGTTGAGGATGTCTCGAGCGAAACGCTTGTTTTGTGTTATAGATTGTCTTCTCTTGGGGACCAGGATTCAGAGGATGTCTCAAATGAAATGCTTGTTTTCACGTGCCCAGGTCTTGAGGATGTCTCGAGCGAGACGCTTGGTCTCACGCCTCCAGGTTGCCCAGGCAGGGGGTCTAGCGCCAGGATTACTTGAGGATGTCTCCAGCGAGACGCTTGGTTTCACGCGTCCTCGTCGCCCAGGCGAATGTCTAGCATGAGGATGTGTTGAGGAAGTCTCGATTGAGATGCTTGTTTGCACGTGTCCAGGTTGCCCAGGCGGATGCCTAGCATGAGGATGTGTTGAGAATGTCTCGAGAGATACGCTGGTTTTCACGTGTCCAGGCCGCCCAGGCGGATTGTCTCGATCGAGACGTTTGCTTTCACGTGTACAGGTCGCCCAGGCGGATGTCTAGAATGAGGAGGTGTTGAAAGCGTCTCGAGCGAAACGCTTGTTTTCACGTGCCCAGGTCACCCAGGCGGACGTCTCACATGAAGATGTGGTGAGGATGTCTCGAGCGAACCACTTGTTTTCACGTCTCCAGTTCGCCCAGGTGGATGTCTAGCATGAGAATGTGTTGAGGATCTGTTGAGCGAAACGCTTGTGTTCACGTGTCCAGGTCGCTCAGGCGGATGTCTAGCATGAGGATTTTGACAGGATGTCTCCAGCGAAACGCTTGTCCCCAGCACGTTCAGTAGCGCGTCCCCTCGGCACGTCCCGCGGTGCGTCCCCATGGCACGCCCCCTGGCACGTCGCTTGGCGCGTCCCTTAAGACGTTCCGCGGCGCGTCCTCCTGGCATGTCCCCCTGTCGATTAGCTCTGGGGCAGCTACTATGTGATCAGGCAGCTCGAGATTATGATCCGGATCAGTTCGGCAAGGACTCGGATGCAAAGGAGGACTCGATCCACGACGCTATAGAGCACAATCGCGGCATGGCACATCGCAATTCAGCAAGGCGCAGCACAGCAAAGACTTCGGCACGGTACACCAAGATCGATACACTCAGCATTGCAATTTGTCACGTTCTTTGGCACGTTCCGTGGGGCGTCCCTTGGCGAGTCCCCCTGGCACGTCGCGTGGCGCGTCCCCTGGCACATCCCGTGGCACATCCATTGGCACGTTCCGTAGCGCGTCCCCTTGGCACGTCCCGCAGTGCGTCCGCATGGCACGCCCCCTGGCACGTCGCCTGGCGCGTCCCTTGGGATGTTCCGCGTCGCGTCCTCCTGGCATGTCCCCCTGTGAATTAGCCCTGGGCAGCTCGAGCTTAAGATCCAGATCAGTTCGGCCAGGACTCGGATGCAAAGGAGGACTCGATCCACGACGCTATAGAGCACAATCGCGGCATGGTACATCGCAATGCAGCACGGTGCAGTACAGCACAGACTTCGGCACGGTACACCAAGATCGATACACTCAGCTTTGCATTTGCCCGTCACCCAATCAGGTGTCTTTGAAAACGTTGCCATGCGTTACATTTCTATATTCCTTTCCGGGTTCGTGGGTCGATCATGTTCAGAATTTGTTGAGGATGTCTCGAGCGAGACGCTGGTTTTGCAGAGTTGGGGATGTCTCGAGCGAAACGCTTGGTTTCAGAATTTGTTGAGGATGTCTCGAGCGACACGCTGGTTTTGCAGAGCCGACCGCGACGCGGAAAAGCGCCCCGCGCGCAGGAGTTTCGATGATGTTTTGTACGATTTCCTTGAATTTTGGCAGGATGTCTCGAGCGAAATGCACGACCCCACCCTAGCACGACCATACCCCAGCACGACCACACCCCAGCACGACCAGACCCCAGCACGACCCCACCCCAGCACGACCCCACCCCAGCACGACCATACCCCAGCACGACCACACCCCAGCACGACCCGACCCCAGCACGACCCTACCCCAGCAAGACCACACCCCAGCACGACCACACCCCAGCACGACCTCACCACAGCACGACCACACCCCAGCACGACCACGCCCCAGCACGACCACGCCCCAGCACGACCACGCCCCAGCACGACCACCCCCCAGCACGACCACCCCCCAGCACGACCACCCCCCAGCACGACCACACCCCAGCACGACCACACCCCAGCACGACCCCCAGCACGACCACACCCCAGCACGACCACACCCAGTCGCACCCCCGTGGAATGTTTCGTGGGGTGTCTGGTTGAGTGGTTGCCTGTTCGTGGGGTGTCTCGTGGAATGTTTCACGGGGTGTCTCGTGGAATGTTTCGTGAGGTGTCTCGTGGAATGTTTCGTGAGGTGTCTCGTGGGATGTTTCGCGGGGTGTCTCGTGGGATGTTTCGTGAGATGTCGCCCAGTTGGGTATCGTGAAAACGTGACCATGCTGCACATGTCTTTATCCCTTTCCGGGTTCGTGGGTCCATCATGTTTGTTCTAAGCTAGGTCAGGCCAGATATAATCCATCTTGGCATTCATTGATAAACCTCCCAGCCCCTTGGCAGTGGCCCCCACTGTATGCTGCATACTGTGAGGGCCCATGCCAAGAAACACCCTGCTTGCCTCCAGGGTGCCCTCGGCTTCTTAGGTTTCAATGTTTTTTTATATGGGAAGCGTGACGTTCCAAGGCCAAGCATCGATGGACGTCCTGGGGTCTCAGGGTTGGGGTTTCTTGTGGAAGGTGTTTTGTGGACTGGCCTCCACTGTAGCCACAGAGGTTGAACGTCCTGGATGTCTTCGGAGGTGCCCGCGGACGCCTGTGGGAGCCTCCCCCCCTCGAGGAGCCTCGCGCGGAGAGACCCTCCGCGGCCACCGGAGACTGGCGCCAGAGGCCACTAGGACAAATCCTCACCCCTGAGCTTCGAGGAGGAGAG